ATTTCGTAATTAGGATTTTCCTTGCCGCGCGGCGCTTTTTGTCTACTCGCTTCTTCATGCGGCTGCAACGGAACTCTGATTAATAGGCGCCTTTAATCATGTGTGTAACTGTTATTTTGGGCGGGCGCCATTGTAACTGTATCTTTCTTCTTGCGCTTCGTCTTTCCCGCCCTTCTTCTCTTTCTTTTGCTGCGTTTTTGGTAGCCGCAGTCTGCATGATCGGATCGATGCGTGGAGAACCGCTATGTCCCCCACGCCAATATCAGCCCATGCAGATGTAGGCAATCCCTCCCCCTTCCCTTCTTCTAAGTCCTTGTAATTTCGTGTTCTTTGCGCATCCATGCACGCTATAAATTNTGGTTTATTTGGTGTCCACTCTATGGACTGGTGACGAGTCTGGCGTAAAAGGTATGGGACATTTGTTATAATGACCCTGAAAAAATCCTGAAAATTCAGGGCTCTATTAACCTCGTCTCTTGCCTTGGGGTTTAAGGGCCCTTTGATCATTTTTATTTATTTATTTTTTTGCTGTTGGTTTATTTGGTGTCCACTCTATGGACTAGTGACAAATCTAGCGTAAACGGTATAGGACGTTTGTTATAATGACCCTGAAACAATCCTGAAAATTTAGGGCTCTGTTAGAGGTTAACAGAGCCCTAAAATTAATAGAGCCCTAAATTTTTAGGACTTTTTTAGGGTCATTATAAGAAACGTCCTATACCTTTTACACCAGACTTGTCACCAATCCATAAAGTTTTGTTTTCGCCCTGTTTTATTTTTGGTAAAGGTGAGTGTGTGCCAAGTTTGTGTTTGTTGGGGTCTTGGAGTTCACTGTTTTTGCCAACCTTAAAAATCATGAAAATCCTAAAAACTGAAAATAGTGAATTTTGCATGAAAACACACTTTTGCCTTGGGGTTTTCCTTTGATTTTTTTTTTTTTTTTTTTTTTTTTGTTGGCTTATTTCGTGTCCACTCTATGGACTGGTGACAAGTCTGGTGTAAAAGGTATGAGACGTTTGTTATAATGACCCTGAAAAAATCCTGAAAATTTAGGGCTCTGTTAACCTCTTCTCAATGTATATAACCCAACTTTCTAGCCAGGAAGGGTGCCCCAAGTACAAATGCAAACCGTATTTTGCCCCATATTGCAGTTACAACTTTTTTTTTCCGACTCTACTGAAGTTACCCCATTTTGTTATTATTGTGTATATCCCCCTTAGACCCCCAACCCTGCCTAAGCCCTGCCTCTCTCTGTCGGGGCTGGAGGACCCCCTATCCAATGTCCTAGCCATATTCTCAGGATCGAAGGCAACTGTATTTGTCGGTCCCCATTCCCCATTCCGTTTAGCCTTTCTAGTTCTATAATATTGCATCTCCCCTATTTGTTCTTGCTATGTTTGTCTCCTTAAACCGTTGTTAGAGCAAATACCATTACAAGGGTATTTTGCAATTGTTTTGCAATAAACGAGGCGACCGTACGGGCTATCATGATAGAGTCGGACCGAGAGTAATAAGTGTGCACGCTTTTTGCGCAACACTTTGAAATAATTTTTCTTAACCATGAAAGACAGGGTGTACTCGATTCACCACGACACATATTATAGCCGCACACGCCAAGATAACAAAAGTTAGTAGTAATAACCTTTGATCACGAAGATCGAAGGGTCAATTGGTGAGAAAAGGGTAGCACTGAATGAATTGATGGCGCCCAAGTGCTTACTTAAAGGCTGGCATGAGGACGGTGTCGAACGCATCGATCCCGCAAAGCAACCCTCCCGGTCGTGTCACACAGGATTTTGCAGGACTTTGTCCTAGTAGAGTGTTGTTGCTTCGGCAAATTGTGCCAACCATACCTCTCGCAAACCCCTACGAAAGGATAGGGTCACACAAGTTATAACTTACCTCCACCCGTGGGAGCTGTCACCATCCTTTGGGTGGGTTTATCCCTGCCGAGCTACCAAATCATATGCGAAAAGTTTTTGTATGCAATTGCAGAGGTGGCCTGACTGAGGGCATTTCTTGTTCGCTTTAGTATAGGGGGTACCTGGAGTTAAACGCCCGAATCGGACCCGTGCACGAATAGTCACCCAAGGCGTTGATCTCTCTAACGCGATACTACGCAGGTCGACTATGAAAGTCAAATCTAACCACGCGATACATCTCACAAAAATAAAATCAAACTTCATACGTAAATTTGCACCTAGTCCCTTTTTCCACATCTTACCCATAACTTTTGACGAAAGAATTATGTGGGTGTCGCGCATCAGACTCTGAATAAATATCGCGGTGATGTAGATTTTATCATATCGACCAACCATACATGAATACACAAGCGACCGAAACGATGACGTACTATGTGGTACCGACAACCACGCGGTCCTCAATAATTTTGAGGTGTCGGCTGACATGCGTCCTGAAGGGTTAATCTTTCGATGCCAGACAATCGCAAGTGCGATTGCGAGACCTACCCTCCTCTGCACATTGAGGAGAGGAGGGGTAGGCGGGCTTCGACCCTTAGTGGCGGCCAAACGTCTCTGGCCTTGACAGAGGGGCTCCATCGGTTCCTAAGCATGGCGTGTTTCTTAATCTAGTCAACAATTTCGAAATTATTCATACTTTTGAACCAAGCAGGCGACCTCCCGCGATTCTAGGTCCCGTACTACATAGCACCATCTGTCTACCATTAGTTCATTGGGTCTGCACTTCTCAGGGAGCAGAAACATAGTACGTACATACAAACAACAACCTCAAAATTAAGACCCCATTTTCAATCTTTTCAACGTTCGGTCCCAACCAGTAAGAATAGAGATCCATCCTCCCCAACAATTAGCGAATTTCCTGAAAAAGTTAACGAGAGCACCGTCGAAAAACTCATCTGGATATCCCCACAACCACAACTCGTTTTTCAGAGTTAAAAGAAAATGAAATTTCAGACCATGAATAGATGCGAATGTCCTGGCTCGATGCAAACATGAACCAATGACGGCGAACTTCTGTTAACGACTTGAATACGACTGAAAATCTTGAATGCACTGAAATCTGAGCATAAAATTAATCTCCTTCTGCTGATTCTTGTGTGTGGCTTGGCATACCACTATCGAAGGATAACTCAGAATCCTTAGCTCACATCCAATGAACTGCCACTGTTGCCCCTCATTGGTTTGCTCCTACGTGAGGCCTTTGTCATAACAGTTTCGAAACTTGCTCATTATTCGCAATGCCCTACACCTGGAGCTATTATCATCATGCGAATACTCCACGAATACTGAAACATCATTGACAATTCTGCAACCATGCGCGAGACTCCTATCTCTCCCTAATGACGCTAGGAAAGAGAACTCATTGTATGCACATAATAGACACGCAAGGGCGGGGCTGAAAGTTTTCCCCATAGGGATTCCCACCGTCTATCGTAACAACCGACCTGCCACCACAACAAACGTGTTACTCAGCTCATACTCAACAAACGACAATATCATTTCAAAGGAGATAAAAAACCAACCATCTTTTCCTCTTTCTTTGGTCATCCAGACCATCTTCCCACGTTTACTTATCAACACTCCCACCAAATCCTCACCCAACCAGTAGTCTGTGACCCATATGAGAGCCGTAATAATGGACGAGTGTGACAGGTTTGAAAACATCTCTTTTATGTCGAATGATCCCCCAATCAACGCGCGAATCTTCTTCATACCTGCATTGATATGATTGATCCTGCACATGAGGTCGTCAGTTCGTCTTAAATTGAAATGCATGTTCTCAGGAAGTCACCATAGAAGAAGATTAACCGCACAAGATATCCGTCTAGCCCCCACCACCGACCCTTTAGAAAATGATGGGCATATGGGTCTCCACTTCGTTACATCCTTGTGTTTTGGTATATAGTAAGCACGCCCAAACTTCCCATCTTTCTTCCACGCCCCCAACTTACCAAATCCAGCCTCGTCGTACCTTTGTTTGCAGCTGCTAATTACCAGTGCTTCAGGATTCTCCTCCTTAACGAACGACGGGTTCGTAAGAAACAACTTCTTCATGCTAGTTCCATATACAACCGGGCAGCATACGTATGTATCTCCCGCATTGTGATCCAACGGAGAGTATATCAGCCCTACCAACCTTTTCTTAAAAGATAGAACTTCCTCAACTTGGCACACCGGCAACCTCTTAGAATGAGATTCAATAATGCATGTAGAAAGAACATCAGAATTGAGAAGTTCAATTTTGACATGAGGAAGAGACCCGAGATTGTCGAAAGATTCCAAAATTTGAGAACGCAGACTAGAAATAGGTTGATCGAGAGAGGGAGAGAGAACATTCAACGAGATAACAACATACGCAAGCGATTGCGAGTCCGTTTCTCCTGAAAACACCGAATGGCCGAGAAGGCATACACTAATTGCCCGAATTCCCAAGTACGTAGACAACTTCTAGAGGCAGGTTGTTTCAAAAAACCCACCAAATACGGTTTCAGAGCTCGTCTTTTTTGACAAAATGGCACAACAACTTCGAAAAGAAGTAAAACACCCGTCGTCAACCAACCTTTCACGTTCCGCAACTGATCTCGACTAAGAGAAGAGGACACAATAGAAGAGTCATAACAACATTTCAGCACCTTCCAATTATCCAACAGAACAGACCCTCCTCTACATGCAATCGCCACACTAGTTAATCCATCGTCACGACATGTATTCAAGATCCTTATCAAATTATGAGACGCCCCTCCAGTCGAAGGCTGAAATTTAACCAAAACTTTCCTCTCATCCAACCGCTTACTCACATCGTTCACAAAATTACGAATAGACAACGTTCCTTATTTTCGACAGAATTTCCTCCGTTCCCTTTTACCTGGTCTCTTCTTTCTCGATTTCCGTGGTTTGTCCCTGGCATTGAGAGAGGTAGAAAAATATCGGATAAAAAACTTCTCTACACACTCAAGATCTTCCTCCGAACAACAGTAAATCGGAATAGCCACACACTTGTCTGCACCATACCTTCGTAGCCACCGGTATAACTTTTCATTACGTTGACCCTTACTTATCAGACAACTATCACACGCCCTGTACACGTGCTCACTCCATCTCACCGACAACACACGTTTTGTGCAGCCCACATAGAGATGTCTACACCAAGGAGACAGGAGCACATAGATAAGCGGGCCCTGCACCACCTCCCCCTACTGCCACCAAAGAGAAATAAAGGAAGACAACTTCTGTGCCCACGAAATTTCCTTCAAAAATATTAACACAATGACACTCCATCGAAACAACTCATCATCAGCTTTTGACCTCAAACACTTAGTTGAAGAAAGCCTGTAGTGCATACACAGATTAGCCAACGACCATAGGTTAGCCGCGCTCGTGAGGGATCCTAAGAAGTAGCCGAATCCCTCCCATCCTCTTTGTCTTCGTTCAACGGATCACCAACCACGTCATTAGATACCTCTTGTATGGCGGGTCGTTTACCAAACGCCCTATCAACTCTCTTCGCAATAATCTCCGCAATAGTTTCACTGAAAGTGGTGTACTTGACGCCTTCCTTCAGGCAGATCTTAGTGATTGCATCTTTCTTCTTACCTCGTAACTCCTTTTTTGCTCCCCTGATGAAAACTTTCCGCTCGACGTCCGTATTGCCATCGATCTCCCCAGCCTTCTTCTTCCCTTTACAGGACTTGTGTGTTGTTCTTTCCTCCTTGTCAACATCATCCAACCGTTCCCGAAAAGAGGATCCGGGCGTATCCTTCTTGGCAGCCTCTCGCTTACTCAATTCCTCTTTTAGTCTAGCGTTCTCCTGCTCCATCTCACGTCTCCGATTCAATTCTTGCAAACGAAGCTCTTTGAGAGCCTCCACTTCTAGAGTGTGCAACTGCCGCAATTAATCGAGCTTGGCGGGTGTCTGTATTGGAGTCGATGGCGGCACCTTGAGATGTGCTGATGGTGACGTAGCAATACGGCTACGCTTGTTCCCCGATTTCAGCGCCTCCCTCTTCCAATTTTTGGCTTCCATCACCGCTTCCTCTTGTGACTTCTTCAATGTTTGAATCTCCTCCTCCAAGCTCTCCATTTTTTGGCATGCTTTCATCGCTGTCTCCAATCGTTGCTTCATCATCTCTTGTTCCTGCATCATGCGAGCCAGGAATGCATCGTCCCCTCCCGCCGCCTTACTAGTAGAAGCTCCCAGGAATACCTTGCGCATTGTGAATCCGCAATGATTCGACCTGCTTCTTCAGCTTGTTGATTTCTTCTTCGTTAGTGCCTGCACCTCTACCACTGCGCAAAGAGCCACAAACCGCTTCAAACTTCACATTCCATGCATCGTTCAACTGCTTCTGAAAGTCTTCGCGATCCTTCTTCTCCTTTATCCTTCTCTCTTCTTCTTCCAATTCCCACTTCTTCTTTTCTTCTTCTTGTTGCTTGGCCAGTACCTTCGCCATCTTCGAGTCATACCACGTCTTCAGTATATTCACTGTTTCTTTTAATGCCACTAATTAGGAGCAATTGAGTACGGAATCCCATAATGATTAAATGATTGGGTAGTTGTTGGACCGAAGACCAGCAAACGCCTTGCGGGAATGCGAGTAAGCACGGTCTGATTTGTGCAGCTTATGGGTGTCCACGCGCGCCGATTTGTAACCACCAACGAACTTAATTGCCCCAAGATTCTTTTCTGATTGTATGAATGGATGTATTCGACGGCCGTTTTGCATCCGCAACGTAGAAATCATCCCGCCTGAGCACGTGTAAGCGCGATCCCCTTTTGCGTGGCCTACAGGTACTCACACGCGGTGATCGCAATCATCAAATATTAGGACGGGCCCGGAATTTCCCCAGCCAGGTAAACACGCACTAAGGAATTCCACGACCTCACAATGACAAGATGACGTACTCGAGGGACTCAGACTCGTCGTGGGATCCAGAGTATTTCAACCCTTGGGTGAGCGAGTGTCTCAGACGGAGACGCCCGAAATTCCCCTGCCTAACCGAGAATCGATTGTGCCCTAGGGAGTTGCACTGTGCTACGACCAGCGATCCAAGGTCTCCCAATTTTCCCACTTCGGATAACTCGCACTACTTCATATCTCCCGACTTCGTCAACTTCGTCGTTATCGCTACCAACTTCCCTCCCTTCCGCCTCCTTCTCCCGTATCACCAACTCACAGTTGTCCCGTGGAATTCCATCGCCGAGTACTGGCCCCGCACGCCCTGCGGAAACTGTCAGCAACGTGGCAACCGACGAGCCCCTGAAAACATGAGGCCTAACCCAAACGCGCGACGACAGATGCCACGTGGCTGCCCCCAAAGGCCCGACTCATCAGAATCACAGCCATTCCGGGCAGTCCTCTCCCCGAACCACTGCCCCCAAAACAAACGAATCGGACGGCCTTGAATGCACCGCGCATGCCATTTGCCTTATGCTACACGACATAGAACACCCGCAGACCGGAAGTAACTCGCCCTAAGCCTCATTGCACTCGTGCCCCTGAAACCCTGCCACATGAGATCTCAGTTCTAACCTGGGACTCCACCCCCACTTTCCCAAACATCCTTGGCACACCCCTTTTCGCACTTCCAGGCCCACATCCTACTCCGATCAGGAAGTCGTGTCGGGCATGAGGTTGGGCGTCACAACGATGTGAAGGGAGTATTCCCCTTACACGCTATCGTCTGGGGCTTCAAACACTCTGGGGGAGGAACTGGGTAGAGAGTTTTTGAGCGGGGTTGAAGGCGGGATGAAAGAGACCGCGGTGAGCAGGGTTGTCGACCCCCGGCCCCGACCCCGATAAAAAAAAAAAACAAACAAACAAACAAAAAAAAAAAAAACAGGGGCCCGGGGGTGCGCACCGCCGCCTCCAAGCCCCTGGCATTTTCTGTTTTTTCCAGAAAATGGGCTTAACCCTGTCTCTTATACACATCTAGATGTGT